AACCGATTCCGGAATGTCAAACCGGTTTCGGAACTAACAAACCGATTCCGGAATGTCAAACCGGTTTCTGAATGTCAAACCAATTCCGGAATGTCAAACCGGTTTCGGAACAAACCGATTCCGGAATGTCACACCGATTCCAGAATGTCAAACCGGTTTCGGAATGTCAAACCGATTCCGGAATGTCGAACCGATTCCGGAATGTCACACCGATTCCAGAATGTCAAACCGGTTCCGGAATGTCAAACCGGTTTCGGAATGTCAAACCGATTCCGGAATGTCGAACCGGTTCCGGAACTAATAAACCGATTCCGGAATGTCACACCGATTCCGGAATGTCAAACCGGTTACGGAATGTCAAACCGGTTTCGGAATGTCAAACCGATTCCGGAATGTCAAACCTGTTTCGGAACTAACAAACCGATTCCGGAATGTCAAACCGGTTTCGGAATGTCAAACCGGTTTCGGAGTATCGAAAACCGGTTCTGGTATCTCAAAACCAGATAAAACCTGTTTTGGTATCTCAAAACCGGTTCTGGTATTTTAGATATTTCGCAAACGGATCAAACCGGTTCTGGTCCATCAAAACCGGATCAAACCGGTTCTGGCATCTCAAAACCGGTTCTGGTATCTCAAAACAAAATCAAACTGGTTCTGGTATCTCAAAACAAAATCAAACCGGTTCTAGTATCTCAAAACCAGATCAAACCAGTTTTGGAATATCAGAACTGGATCAAACCGGCTTTGGTATTCGAAAACTGGATGAAACCGGTTCTGATTTCCAAAAACGGATCAAACCGGTCTGGTTCCCAAGAAATTTTAGAAAATTGTGAAAATTTGGAGATTTACCTTGGCTTCAGATCTACCACTTTAAAACAGTAATGTCTAGCAAGAATGTAATGTCTGTGAATTCACGATTTAAATTCAGTCGTGTCTATTTTAATAATATCAGAATCGCCTGAAAAAGACAAGAAAAATATTCAATAAGAATCAATATAAATATTTTTACATAAACTCAGATGATGTTACATATTTTGTAATGTTTTATTCTTTCATTATTCCATCTGATGACGACACGTGTAACTCGTGTTGAAACGTTTGGTGTTTAATAATTTTATAAAAGAAGTTTTCTTATTCTTGTTTGTGATTTTTAGAGCTGTTCTAGAAATGATCAAATGAAAGTGGTGAATTGAATACAATGATAGTTCTGTAACTAGTAGAGAACTAGTAACGAACGAAGAGGCTACGAGTGTGTTGGACGGACTGACTAGTACTACAGGAACATGTGATCAATTTTCACATTGCAATGCCAATGTTAGGTTTCGTGTTCTCTCGCATGAAATTCATAAATGGGAACAACCTACTCGTTTAAAGATAATTAAAATGAAAGAAATATGGCCAAGGACTGTCTTCATATCCTTAAATCGAGTAAATGGAGCTGTAAGGAGTTATTTTCTTGCAAAATGGGATTTAAGCGCTTTAAATTTTTACCAAATGCCGCCATATTGTTTACACCGGAAGTCACGTGTTAAAATACTGCAGTAATTTACTTTGTTGGACAATCAAGTCTACCTGTTGCGTCTTTTCACTACCGAAGTCAACGACGCTGTAAAAAAGAGTTCTTCCCCTTAGACCGTGTTGTGATTTGCGCGGATAACACTAAAATATACACAGTAGCGCTGGTGTGTTTTGCTTTGGTTATAGCGTGTTTGTTTCGATGTTTTAAACCAAATCATTTATTTTTTTGTTTTTTAGGGACTCTAACACAATAAATCAAGAAAAAATCAACGCCCTGGGCCCCTTGAAAATACAAATTTGGCTTTGAATGACGGGTAGGGTAGCGAAACACGTGGGCGTGGTCAGTTTTGGTCATTAGAAAAAAGAAGACTCCGAATACATGATTATCCAGACTTATTTGCTCGTAAAACTACACTTTTGATAATCAAGACTAGATGTAAACAAACAAAATGGCGGACTTTGTCGTCGATTTTTCAAATGTCAGATTATAAACGTAAATGCCAGCGTTTTTACTTCGTTTGAGTCTGAATGAAGGACTTTCCCACCATCAGCGACTAGAAGTCTAAAAGATCAGACAGTTGTCATAAGCTAACTTGTAGCGAATAACTCAAATTTGCCATTTTAATGTTGGAATCGTGGCGTTCCGGAACTTTGTTTTAGTTGTTTGTAGTGCAACATTTCAACTGACGAAGATTCTAGGACAAAAGAGCTACCCACGTCGCCACATGAAGAAGAATAGACGAGGATACAGTTGCAGTCAAAAGACAATATGGAAAATTTATTGTCTATGGACAGAAACCTGATCTTCGTATTAATAATTGTAATATAGTTAACCTTTTTGTAGTTTTCTAATGCTGGTTTGATTTTGGATTAAAGAATAAATAATATTGTAATGTGTGTGTAGTGTTTGTAAAAGATTTCATCAGAAGTGACAGGTGTCAGATATATATCTGTCTCCACCATAACCCTCCAGAAATAAAGCTGAACTGGTATTGGCTGCCACATTTAATGTTTTTCTGCATCAATTTACATAGAGAAAGAATTGTCCGCACCCCCCTTTATAATTCTGTGGTCCCTTCTTGGCGTCCCAACCCTAAGATACATAGAAACCCAAATATTACTACGTTGAGGAAATCCAAAAGGACAGGCACAAAGGTAGCGCAATAGTTCCTGAAGGGGTTGTTTCGCTGACTCCAGAGCTAGAAGGTAACCCTCTAAAAAGAGTCATTAACAACACAAAATTAAGAAAAAAAAGTTAAATTTGGAACACATATTTATTCAGTAATTACAATTTAAAATTTAGATTCAGTCGTGTCTGTTGGCATATTTCAAATAATATCAGAATCACCTGAAAAAGATATGCAATAAGAATCAAGATAAATACCTTTACATGAACACAAATAATATGATACACAAAAGTCCTTTTGTAATGTTTTATTCTCTCCTTATTTCATCTGATGACGACACGTGTAATTTGTGTTGAAACGTTTGGTGTTTAATCTTGTGTTTGTGATAATTAGAGCTTCAATAGTTCTGTAACTGGTAGGAACTCTTAACAAACGAGTGGCTACGAGCATCTGGACTGACTAGTACCTAGAGGAACTTTGGTTCAGAATTGGAAAATTCTATGGACAGAAACCTCTTCTTCACTTGAATAAATGTAATAATTACCTTTATATTTCTGTAGTTTTCTAATGCTGGTTTGACGTTGAATTAATGAATAGATAATAATTCAGCAGAAGTGACAGTAGTCATGATAACAAACAACGAAAATAGAAAGTTACAGATAGGAGAAGTATCCTTCCTTTCAAGCTGAAAAGACAGAATCAGAATATAATTAGAGCTGTTCTAGAAATGATGAAATGAAAGTGTCTACGGGCGTGTTGGACTGATAGTACCTAGAGGAACTTTGGTCTAGGATCAAAAGTGCTGGATAGTTCTGCAACTGGTAGGTAACTCTTTACAAACGAGAGGCTACGGGCGTGTTGTATTGACTAGTACTGGAGGAACTTACATTGGTCTGAAAAAGTCCGCATCACAATGACAATGTTTAGTTTCTTGTTCTCGCATGAAATTCACAAATAGAAACAACCTACTCGTTAAAAGATAATCAGAATGAAAGAAATGTGGCCAAGGACTGTATCCATAACCTTTAATCGAGTAAATGTAGCTGTACGAAGTCATTTTCTTGCAAAATAGGCTTTAAGCGCTTTAAATTTTTACCAAATTCCGCCATATTGTTTACACAGGAAGTCACGTGTTAAAATACTGCAGTAATTTACTTTGTTGGACAATCAGGTCTACCTGATGCGTCTTTTCACCACCGAAGTCAGCGATGTTGTAAAATAGAGTTCTCTCCCTTAGACCATGTTTTGAACAGTTTTGATTTGCTCGGATAATACTAAAAAATACACAGTAGCGCTGGTGTGTTTTGCTTTGGTTATAGCGTGTTTGTTTCGACGTTTTTGACCAAATAGCTTATTTCTTTGACTTGTAGATGCTCTAACACAACAAATCAAGCATTTTTCTTCGTTCTTGCCCCCTTGGAAATACAATTTTGGCTTCGATTGACGGGTAGGGTAGCGAAACACGTGGGCGCGGTCAGTCTTGAATGTTAGAAAAAAAGAGACTCCGAATTCATGATCATCCAGCCTTATTTGTTCGTAGAACTACATTTTTGATAATCAAGACTAGATGTAAACAAACAAAATGGCTGACTTTGTCGCTAATTTTTCAAATGTCAGATTAAAAACGTAAATGCAGACGTTTTTACTTCGTTTGAGGGTGAATGAAAGACTTTCCCACCATCAGCGACTAAAATTCTACAAGATCAGACAGTTGTCATGAGCTAACTTGTAGCGAATAACTGAAATATGCTATTTTAATGTTGGAATCGTGGCGTTCCGGAATTTTGTTTTAGTTATTTGTAGTGCAACATTTCAACTGAAGAAGATTCTAGGACAAAAGAGCTACCCACGTCGCCACATGATGAAGAATAGACGAGGATACAGTTGCAGTCAAAAGACAATATGGAAAATTTATTGTCTATGGACAGAAACCTGATCTTCGTATTAATAATTGTAATATAGTTAACCTTTTTTGTAGTTTTCTAATGCTGGTTTGATTTTTGATTACAGAATAAATAATATTGTAATGTGTAGTGTTTGTACAAAATTTCATCAGAAGTGACAGGTGTCAGATATGTATCTGTCTCCACCATAACCCTCCAGAAATAAAGCTGGCCTGGCAATGGCTGCCCCAATAAAATTTTCTGCATCATTAGACAAAGGGAAAGAATTGTCTGAGCCCCCCTTTGACAATTCTATGGCCCTTACAAAAGGACAGACACAAAGGTAGCACAATAGTTCCTGAAGGGGTAAGCATACCCTCTCTGTCTCTCTTGCATGCAAACTCAATGCAGACTCAAGAGCTAAACGATAACACTTCACAAAGTGTCATTAAATATACACAAATAAAAAAAGTAAAAATTGTAACACAATTTTATTCAGTAATTACAATTTAAGATTTAGATTCAGTTGTGTCTGTTGGCATATTTCTAATAATATCAGAATCACCTGAAAAAAATCAAAAAGAATTAGATTCAAGAAAAATGATTTGACACAAAATCATTACCAATATGATACACCAAAGACTCATTCTGCTACCAATCAATGGCTGAAGAACACTGTTAATACCAAGACTAATTCCAAGTTTTTTGAGTTCATCAGGGCTTTTGATATGGCATTTATCAGATGTCTTAACTCAATGCTTATTCATATGGACACCAACACAAAACTAAAATGAAATGAGAGGGTTAAGCTTACCTGGGTCAGTGATGCTTAAAGCTCCAACTCGGAAGTATTTACCACAAGCAGTACCCAATTCTATATTATTACCAGCGTAATGGTGGACACCAGTCTTAGCTAACATAGCATAATACTCGATTTCACTTTTACTGCAATATACAAACAGTAAAATAATTAACTTTCGATTTGAAAACCAAACTGGTGACACGAATAACAATAAAACTGTTGTACTTGACATTAACAAACACTGATCATGAGCAATCGATGCCGATTCCAGCTGCTCAGATGGATGACAAGTGACTTATTGCCTCGCTATACACCAATACAAAATCAAGAACCTTTAATACTACATAAAGTTATACAGCCACACTAACCATTTCTTAAACAATTCATGGAGTTCTAAATCACACACAAAGCAATCTAGGTCAGTCCAAGGAGATGCTCATACTTACTATTTTTAACCTCTGAGGAATAGAAAGCAAAAAGAATCAGAAGGTTGACTTCATCGTTGTCAAAATAGACTCCGAAGTCCAGCATTTTAATAGCAATCAGTCAAAAATAATACAAATATTTTGGACTTCATCTTTGCTAAGAGCTCCAAGTCTGGATATATTGAAGGCTAAAACTTTTCTATGAAATAATATAAAAGAATCTTGCTACCTGTTTTGCAAGACATATCATTTCAAAAAAAAATATACTCACACTAAAGGAGGTGTATTATTGGCAATAATAACCAATTTAGCTTTGCCTTGTCTTAATGTTTTCAATGTCTGTCGATGGCCCAGGCAGTATTTACCACTCTTCATTACCAGAGCCAAACGGGCATTGATATTCTCAGAGGACTTTTTCTGAAATAAAAAAAGCAACCAATTGAGTATGCAAACTCTTTTCAAGATTGCAAGTCTTACAAATCCCTCTTGTCAACATAATGATTTCAAGGTCGAAACAATTGCTGGTCGGTGAAGATTCTGCGTACAATTCCAAGGTTTATCACTCAGATACTTCAGATTCTTTTTCATAAATTTTGATCAGAATAGGTAAGGGTTAATCATCATAGTGATAAAAAGGCACCTCTTATTCCAATCAGTTACAGTTCATCATCAAATGAGCTGGATGGCAACACTCCAATGTGGACAACTTCCAAGCTTGCCATTCATAACTTGCCAAGAACTATTCTCAGATTTTGAAACTAGTTGTGCCTCAGATTTTTAAGTATCGGAGAGCTGGGTGAATCATCATTGAAAAGATCTGGCCATATTCCAATTGCATTTACAAGCATAGAAGCAAGCCAAGAATTTTGTAGATATAACAGTAAAATGGACTTTCTCAGATTTTGAAACTAGTTGTACCTCATTTCAGTTGCGGAGAGCTGGGTGAATCATCATAGAAAGTACATTTTATTGTTTACTTGGAGCCTTATTTAATCAAAAAATGTTTGTGGTCTGAGGCCAAAAGGGGAGGTAATTTGTTGACAATAAAGCACGTGGCTTTTCGCGGATACTTACTGCTTTCTTTGTAGACACCATTTTGAACGTTTATAAGCTTTGCAGCAACCTGAAATGGCCAAAACATAAACATTATTTACTAAAATTAATATTTCAAACATGATCGGGTGGTAAATCATGCTCGATCGCATCTAAATTCAACAAAACGGACTGTGGCTAACCTCCTTCGTCGACAGTCGGAATAAAAAGAACTCCTACCCATAATTCTCGTGGAACCTAACGCTTTGTCTCGTACCCGGCGATACATTGCGAGAAATTCCAGAGCAATGGCTGCCTTTGGACGTAAATAAATCAAAACAAGTTAGTTTTTGCCAATCTACGACGTCCCTTTGTGTCAGAGAAATAAAAAATGTTTGTTTATTTAAGCAAAAAGGTTAGTATTTTATGAATATATGAATTTCACGGTGATCCAGTCCTCCGATCATTATTTAGATGATGTTTTTGTTGAAAAATGCAGTGTTGCTAAAGACGCCAAAGTCCATCTTAGCCCCCTACCCCTCTTCTATTCGTATTTATTCAATGCCTTATATTCACGATCACACTGTATAAGACCTTCTCAAAATGTTCCAGAGGTGTTTAACTTGGGCTCTATATTTTTTTAATCTCCAGCAATTTTTCAATATGTCATTAAAAAATAATTAATCTCAGAAAGATCATTGTCAAGGACTAATTTTTAGACTAAACAGTACCGGTATCTTCATACCATTTTTTTTCAATCCTTGAAGAATCCATAATCTGGTATTCTGTCTACCAATAATTTTATCTCGCAGATTGCCATCCCTAATAACACTAAACTAAGAAGTGTTTCATGGAATAAAGAACAAGGTTATATAGCTTGTGGAGGGGAAGATGGCCTATTGAAAGTTTTGAGACTGGAAACACAGACAGGTAGGTATATGCAAAACAAAAATCCTTTTACGCAGGCATATTTTGTGCAGAAATAGAGTTCCATACCATATAATAAATCTATGTGGATTTCAGACAGTTGTGTCTATAAATTTTTCATGCTTATGGACTTAGCTTAATGTTTTTTCATTTGTTCCCAGGTAAAGATGTAAAAGTAAAAGGTTTGGCAGCACCAAGTAATTTGTCCATGAATCAGTCTCTAGAAGGGCATGCAGGTAATAATCTTTATACATATTCCTTTACATTAATTACAGACAAACCAGATGCCAAATTTTATTTATTAAAGTGATATAGATAGCATAAAAAAAACCTTTTACACTGAGAAACCAAATAAGAAAAGAGAATATATATCCTCTTCAAATTGATCATAAGACAATTGTCACTTTGACAGTATATTTTGTTAATATTACAGACAAACTAAGTGTAAGATTTTCCTTCTAAACAGTGATACAAATAGGGGCTATAACAAATATGCCGTTAGTCAGATCATACAGACCTATTATCTAAATTAGAAACGTGAGTGTTGATTTATAACTATGATTTTCTAGGTGCAGTACAGTGTGTAACCTGGAATGAACTGTATCATAAACTGACCACTAGTGACCAGTATGGACTAATTATTGTCTGGATGCTATATAAAGGTAGATACAAGTTATAACTGATTCCAAAATTTCTTAATGAATTAGTTGTGTGAATTTGGATTAAGAAAAGAAGAACTTGAGGATACTTTCTACCAGCATTGCATTAGCTATATATTTACTGGATTACCCTTGCTAATGTACTGTTGACTGGAATAATGAGGACCCTTAACCAGCTGTTCCTTGGTGAAACATCTTGGCATTGATCTTCTTGGATAATCTAAACCAATTTACTACTGGTCAACTGAAATAAGAGGAAAATATGACTTTTCAAAGGCCTTCAATTTTTCATAAAGCCTCCAAATTTAAATGGAAAAAAAAACAACATAAAGATAATTTGTTGTTTTGAATACAGGAAACTGGTATGAAGAGATGATCAACAACAGAAATAAATCAGTGGTGAGAGGAATGAAATGGAATGCTGATGGTCAGAAGATATGTATAGTTTATGAGGACGGTATGCACCCATATAAGCTTTCTTTAACTCCTCCCATTTCTCTTGTGCTCCTCCCATCTTCCTTTTGTTCCTCTCATATTTTGGTGGCTCCTCCCATCTTCCTCTTGTTCCTCTCATATTTTGGTGGCTCCTCCCATGTTTCTGTTACTCCTCCCAATTTTTCCCCCTCCATTCTTTCTTTTGCTGCACCCATCTTTTGGTTACTTGGAATTAAATTGTTTCTTGTTTTTTCAGGGGCTGTAATTGTTGGGTCTGTGGATGGAAACAGAATTTGGGGCAAGGAATTGAAGGGTCTGCAGCTAGCCCATGTTGAAGTAAGTAATTTCCACATAGGTCATCGTCATCAGAGCTCCGATAAAAAGAGTGACATCATAAGACATGAATGATCTAACTGACCAAGCTACAGTCCCACCTTATTAACATTTTTTCTGTCTAATTTCAGTGGTCACCAGATGGTAAAATGATAATATTTGGAATGGTAAATGGTGAAATACATATCTTTGATAACATTGGAAATTTCATTGTAAGTTTAGTTCAAAACCATTTTATTTAAGTTTAAAGGGAAGCTGTAAGGTTGGGCATTTTCGTTATGTGAAAACACTCAAAGCATTTTGATTGGTATCATTGCGTATTATTTCTTGATGTTTAATTCCATTTTGTTTCAGACTAAACTACAAGTATATTGTCTAAGTAATATAACAGGAGCTATTCATATATCTGGAATAGATTGGTACAAAGGTAGTAATGGCTATGTGGAACCAAACTGTCCGTGTTTAGCTATATGTTTTGATAATGGACGCTGTCAGATTATGAGAACTGAAAGTGATGAAAGTAAGAAAACAATCCACATTGATAAGGAAGGTTTTTTTGGGGATCCTGACAAGCAGTTAGTTCTTGGTGAAATTGTTTGCCACTGGTCTTTACCATGATTATCTATACCCATTCACATACATGGAGCTGGTCCTTGGCCAAACCTGTTGGAATTGATCTTTTTGGATTATCTGACTCATTCACTCTAGCATTGTCTGGATTAATGAGGTTCCTTTTTTCCAGCCTAATGTCTAGGTATTGTTCTCTCCCAGCCAATCCACACCCAATTACAACCAAATTCGACAAATTATTGCAACTCTCATTCAAGGTTCTGTTTTGTAAGCTAATATTTTGGCAGGATTTGAAACTGATGTGCTTTCTGTTCTAGATTCCATCCTACTTGATACTGGAATGCATGTGTCTCAGATTGCCTGGAACCATACTGGATCTGTCCTGGCTATAGCAGGCTCACAGAGTGCTGTAGGTCAAGAGAAGGAGGTCAATGTGGTGCAGTTTTATACACCTTTAGGGGAGGTTGGTACTAATTCAATAGATAGGGATATTGTCTGCTTAATAGTTGCTGAACATACAACTTAATCTGAGCTCAATTCCATGTGGCTCCTCTGGAATTTGTCGAAACATAAAATGACAAGAACTTTCTACCAGATTACACAATTAAAAGAAAACAGAAAAACAGAAGATATGTTACTTTGTATTTCAGCATCAACGAACTTTAAAAGTGCCAGGAAAGCAAATGACAGCGTGTTCGTGGGAAGGAGGCAGTTTGCGTATCGCTCTAGCTGTGGATTCGTACATCTATTTCGCTAATATTCGCCCAGACTATAAATGGGGGTACTGCTCTAATACTGTAGTCTACTCCTTTACTAAACCTGACAGACCTGAAGTGTGTGTTGTATTTTGGAACACCAAAAACAATGAGGTGGGTGTATTTTGATTGGCTGATAAAAAGAGATTAAATAATGTCATGGAAAGAGCTTAAAAGATGGCATAAAAAGATGCACGTAATTTGGTTTTGATAACCTTAACAATTTCTTTTGCAGAAATATATTAAATATGTCAAAGGACTGATTGGAATAACTGCTTTTGGAGATTATTGTTGCCTAGCAACCAAATCAGAAGACACTACAGGACAGGTAAGAATCTTTAAAGTTGTGATACTCTCTGTATTTCTTCTTTTGTTAAATTTATCTCTGTATTTCTGATAATTTTTGGTCTCTCCTAATTTGTTTTCAGTATGTGCTATCACTCTGCAATTCAATAGGGACTCCGTTAGACTCCAAATACATAGAAATTGAGCCAGTTTATTTGACGATGACAGCCAATCATGTCATAGCTGCCTCAAAAGAAGCTTTTTATACGTGGCAATTCAAAAATCCTAAAAAGTTGGCAACTTTGGAAATGACATCAAAGAGGAAAGCTGGAGCCGAAAAGTAAGAAATTTTATTTGAATATTTTAGTAGTTATTTATACTATAAAAATCTAATAAATGTGGGCACAAAGAGATTGAACTTGATGCAGATTAATTAAGTAAATCCTGAGAATTTTCATTAAAAAGAATAAGAATGCTTTCTTCAATACTATGCAAATGACATCATGAGTTAGTTATTGCCCTAACCAATTAAGCTACAACCTCCCTTAAATGTATGATAAGCTCAGAACTAATTTTTGTGATGTTTCAGGCTCTTCCATATTGATGATTTGCCGTCAGGTGCTGGAGATCCTACAGACGTAGACTTTCAGAAAGCTTTCCAGGTAAGCACTTAAACAAATATTATCAATTCACCCCATGTAGTTGTTTTCACTTCATGTGAATGCCTTTTTAAGCACCACAATTTGATGTACACTTCCAACACAATTTAATATCACATATCCCAATCTTCACAAGGCTCAATAGAGATGTCATCATTAAGGGTTGCTGATTTGAATGGTATCAGGTGTTGCCTTGTGTTCACATGTCACAGTAGCTATAACTTCGAAGCCAAAGTTTTTGCACCATTTTAACAAAGCACTGGGATTAAACCCAAGTTAGCCACATGATTTTCAATCCACAATTTTAGCCTTAAACAACAGTCAGCCACAATGTTTCTAATGCACAATTTTAGCCTAATTTAGAAGGGAATGGCGAGGGTAATGTACAAAGACAAGTCAGCGACATGTCTCTATCAGAAAATAGATTCTTAAAGGTACTCAAACGTATTATGCTTTTATTGAGTGTTTGAAATCTAATCCATTTTTATTACCAAGTTTTGGTTTGTCTTGACGTTTTCCTACTAACTGTGTGTTTTTATCTTTTGATTGTGTAAATTGATTTATAATTGGAACTTGTTTCTTTTCTCTTTTTCTGTGAATTTTTAAAGTAAAAAATTTTAAAATCTTCCAAAATTTCTTTGAAATATATCAAATCATATCAAATAGACAGAATGGAAAAAGAATCCTCAAATGGTAATTTTCTTGTTGATATTTCAGCCAGCTAATGATCCAATCTGCTGTATTTGTGCCTCTGACAAGATGCTTATTGTGGTAGGTTTATATTCAATTGAATTGGTTTTAATTTGATTGAATTGTTTTGATTTGTATTTGATTTGTTTTGATATTTTGATTGACATTTATTTACATGTATTATCATATACAGCCATGAAATATTTTGTTTTGATTTTCATGTCAAAACATTGTGAGTTATTTAAATGTTGTGATGTGTTGTGATCTTTGATTGAATTGTTTTGATTGATTGAATTGTTTTGATTGATTGAATTGTTTTGATTATTCTAGGGTAGAGAATCTGGTATTATGAACAGGTATTCTATGCCAATGTTAGCTTTAACCAACAAATATACTTTAATATGTAGACCTCATCAACTGGCCCTTAATTGTACCTCTACGTAAGTTTTAATTGATATAAACACTAATAACTAATTAATAGATAATTTAACGATTTCTTAATGATTACATATATGTTAAATGTGGTAAATAGCCTGTGCCATTTAATTAATTCCATTTATATATTTGAATAATTCTGCTGCTGCATCATTAAAATAATTCTTAACCACACTTCAGTCGGCTGTCAATCATAGACATAACTGGTGTTCTCACATTCTTTGACCTTGATGCTCGAGTCGTAGACCAAGATGGCCGTGAAGTAGTAGGTGAACATATCAAATTTGAACGTAAAGATGTCTGGGATATGAAATGGGCAGATGTAAGTAATTTGAATTATTTTGTTTTGATATTAAAGGGAGAAGATGAGAGTTTTTGAGGAAACATTTTATTATAAAAGAAACTAAAATTGTGCCTCAATATTTTGGCATTGAGTTTCTTATTTCTTATTTTGTTTTTTTTTAAGGACAACAATGAACTGTTTGCCATGATGGAAAAAACCAGGATGTATATATTTAGAAAACTTGAACCAGAGGTTAGCTTCATTTCATAGAATAGAATTGTTATATTATTTTCTATGTCAGTCATGTAAATTTTGCGGCCACCCTTGTGGGGGTGGGGTTTGAGGGTTTGCTGGGATGTTATTTTTCACTCTGGAGGAGGTACAGTATTATTTCAGTTGAACCAAAATATATTGGTGTCAAATGTTTGGGAAATTGATATTTCATTGTGCTGTTTTGGAGAGAAATCTAATACAGCCATCCATAACCCTTCTCAAATTGAAAATTTACATCAGGTGCGAATGTCCTTATTTTCAGGAACCAATATTAAGCAGTGGCTATATATGTCAGTTTAATGATTTACAAATTAAATCAGCCCTACTGGATGAGATCATGAAGGACCCTGAAAATCCTAAGAAAGACGATTTAACAGAACTAGAAATAAAGGTAGGCATAGCAACTGTACTCAAATTTTTCCCGCTTCTTTTGGTATAGATATTTCTTTTTCCTGAAGACAGAATAATAGATAGAAGCATCAGTAATTTGACTTTTTTCTAAGGAGATTCTAACCTGTAGTGTCTTTTTTCCTAGCAGACGCCAACCCAAATCTAAACTGGGTTCACTTTTCTTTCCCAGTTGAATCATTTGCATCATGCTAAGGCAAGAAAATAATTTGATTTTCAAAATGGCTGCTTCAATTTGTTTCAGTCTTTAAGAGATGCAGCTAATTTGTTAGAGAAAGTTGGTATTGCTGATGCTCAAGCTTTCATTGAAGAGAATCCCCATCCTAGATTGTGGTAAGTCACTGAGCCATATCCTTCCTTCCCAATGATGAACTGAAAGGCATTCAGCCGTAAGCCCAAGGACAAAGGCAATCGCATTAAAGAACGTACATTGAAATTTCTTTATCTTGAATATTCATTTAGTTGTTAACTTTCCAGGAAACTATTGGCCAAGGCAGCTCTTGAAGCATTAGAACTTGGAATAGCAGAGACAGCGTTTGTTAAATGTAAAGACTATCCATCCATAGAATTTGTTAAAAGACTGGGAAATCTGCAGGTAAGTGCTGAATTGCTGTGGAAACAACATGTTCTTCAAGCCCAAAACCATCTTCAAGGTACAGCTGAAGGAGAAGGTTTAAAGAGATCCACTGCACAAGGGACAGAGTTAATCCTATAAAAGTTCTCACCTAATTTTGTATTTTTAGAATGAAAACATCAAGAAGGCTGAAGTAGCTGCATATTTTGGAAGGTATGATGAAGCTGAGAGAATGTACATTGAAATGGATAGAAGGTAAGTCTTCTTGCTTGATTGAATGTAAATATGGGAGTGGCTCACAATGATTGACAATATAGTCCCGCCTTTTGCATGAAGTTAATTGCAATTCCTTTATCTGTCTAATCCTTGGCTTTATGTGCAGATAGGAAATTAATGTCTGTTGTAAAATTCCAGGGATTTGGCAGTAAGTTTGAGGAAGAAGCTGGGAGATTGGTTCCGAGTTGTCCAGATCCTGAAAACAGGAGGTGGTGGAGGAGACGATGTACAATTGGAAGAGGCCTGGAACGCCATTGGTGATCAGTTCGCTGATAAACAGATATGGTCAGTTGGAATTTAGCAGGGGGCAGCAGTCTTGTTTTTGTGAATTATTAGGTTGTGGGGCCACGGATTAGTCAGGAAGGGATTACAGCAACAGATTGAGCCAGGTCAGCTTCATTTCCAGATCCATCTGGCCCCTAAAACACTATTACTTTGGCACCCATCAATTAGATAAGATCAGCTGATACTCTTGGTGTCCTATTATCAAACAACCAGTAAATCTGTTACTATTTTTAGGAGTCAAGCAGTCACTTACTACCTGCAAGGTCGGAATCAAGAAAGACTGGCAGAATGTTACTACATGCTGGAAGATTATCAAGGCTTAGAAAAAATGGTGGACAGTTTGCCTGAAAATCATAGATTATTACCTGTAAGGTCACTGTTTGATTTGTTTTGTTCTATTTGTTTTGTTCTATTTGTTTTGTTTTGTTCTACTTAGCATATTCTATTTGTATATGCACATATTTTCACCTCAAATAGAGAGGCCAAATTTGGATTTATGGACAGTCTTGTTTTCAGCAGTCTATTGTCGGCACTTGGACTAAAGCCACATTTTCTACCTTATCTTCTTTTTATTTTCTAGGACATTGCTAAGATGTTTCTCAGTGTAGGGATGTGTGAACAAGCTGTCAATGCTTTTAAAAAGGTAAGAACACAAGTTACACATGCTTTGTGATAGAAATGCAGTGAACTCCCTCTAAACCGGCAGCCCATTGGACTAAGAGAAAAGGCCAGTTTAGACGGGAATTGTTTAATCAAAGAGAGTTCCATCACTTCATGAATTAATTTGTTCCTTCCATTTAAAATACCAACTGGATAGTTGAAAGGGGTTCAAAGCCAACACTGTAACGATTCGCGGAAACACTGGCAATGTCATGCCAAAGTAACCACAGCAATAAATTATCTTTTGCAGTGTAACCAAATAAAAGGAGCTATAGATTGCTGTGTACAGTTAAACCAATGGAACACAGCGATAGATCTGGCTAAAACACACAATGTAAGAGAGATAGACATGCTCTTGGCTAAGTATGCCCAGCACCTACTGGAAAAGAACAAGACCATCAATGCTATAGAGCTATACAGGAAGGCTGGACATTTTATGGAAGCTGCCAAGCTCATTTATAAGGTATGTTTTATTATGTTGAGCTTTAGACGAGCTCTTGTTAAGTAACCTTGTATTGTGGGACCTTCTCAGTACTGCATGCAGGTCCAATTTACATCCTTTCTACCAGCTGGTCCTTTGCATTGATCTTTCAAAGATTAGAACCTACCATCACCAGTTTAACATACCATTGCAAATGATGCTGTGCCAAAGTACAGTAACTTATTTGATCATAAAAACTTCAGATTGCAGAAGAGCAAGGAAAAAAGAAAGGGAAACCACTCCAGATGAAGAAGCTCTATATTCTGGCTGGTTTGATGATTGAACAGTATCACGAATCCATGAAACTTACGTCAAGAAAAGCAAACAAGGGAAAAAAGGCAGAGGTCAGTATCTTTGTTGTATTTTTCGGAAGGAATCCTTCTTTAAGGATGCACAAGCTACTTCTTGCTTTCATCAGGATGCTAATTCTCCTGAATTTCATTGCAGGCAGCTAATGCTTTAGCTGGGTTCCTAGAAGAAGATGTCACCATAACTGATACCAAAATCATTGACAATTCCTGGAGAGGAGCAGAAGCTTACCATTTCTATATCATGGCTCAAAGACAGCTGCATGCTGGTAGGTACCCAAATATTGTTGTATGGTTGAATCAATGTCAGAGGGACATTCACTGATGCTCTGAAATCTCAATCAGCTGAAATCCCTCAAGGAGTCTTACTGGAAAGAAAGACTCTCTGTACCATGATTTTAAGCTAGTGATATAGAGTTGAGGAGAGGGATTACCAGCTGTTCTGCTACTTTTAAATCATATTCTATATTTGATAGGTTATGTAGATGCTGCCATGAGAACTTGTCTCCATATCAGAGATTTTGAGGACATCATAGATCCTGTGGATATCTATTCTTTACTTGGTAAGATTACTTTGAGCTTGGTATTTGGTAAATGTCTGCTTGTTGGATTTGATTTACAACTGTGGGACATGATAAGAGTATTGATACTTGTTCCTGAAACTATAGGACAAGTGGAATACATCAGACCAGACCCGTACCTACAGGGCGGGGAACCGACCAATTCAATTACTGCAACTAAACACCATACCCCTTGCTTCTCTGAACAATCAAGTCTGGCCATTGGCTGAATCTGACATCGCACGTTGTAATACAATTCTGATGATTTGAATATAAATAACACCATACTAACTGTATTTTTCAGCACTGGCGGCCACGGCTAATAAAGGTTTTGGAACTTGTTCTAAGGCTTTTATTAAACTGGAATCTCTGGACACTATGTCTCCTGAACAGAAACAACAATACGAAGAACTGGCTTTAGATATCTTCACTCAGTAAGTAACTGTATGAACTGTCAAGCTTCATTGAAACATGGCTACATGTCAGTAGGTCAGAGAGACAGACAGGGAAAACAATACAACACAAACCAGCCCATTAAAGACTCCTAAAAATGTAGCATAAGCTATGAGTTTTTGTCTCTTTTCAGCCACAGTCCAAAGGATACCAGAAACAACAAAGTGGAGTGTCCAAATTGTGCCTCACCAATGCCAGACTGGTATGTGTATTTCTAATATCTTTCTCAAAATAAGATAAACAGAACAGTATGCCAACTAATTTAACAAAATTTCCCTTATTGCACATTATATGGTGTTATGATTAATTAAATATAATTTATTTGTTCATTAAAGATCAGTATGACCTTCTAGAGTTCATCATGGTACTACTAAGGTGACACGAGTCTTCAACATCCAACCTTTGCTATAAGAAGCGTTTGTTTATAATATCAAATTGATTGTATTTCAGGGCCACGTTGTGTACGAGTTGTGACTCAAAATTTCCAACCTGCATCGTCACAGGACGGCCAATTATTGCCAACGAATTCTGGATGTGTAGTCATTGTAAACACAGAGCTTTCGAAAACGAGATACGGAATTTACACTCATGTCCACTTTGTCATGGAAAATTCTAAATAAATATGAAAATGCATACTTCTATATTTCATAGATTGCTGTTTAATAAAGAACTTTTCAGTTTCATCATTTTATCATAAAAAATGAAAATGAAAATTCATATTTGAACAATATTTTCTGTATCACAAATTGTCTGTTTTTATTTTTCTGTGTCATAAATCACTTTTCTGTTGGGCAAGTTAATTCCATACAGAACTTTTCTGTTACATAAATAAATTTTCAGTGTCATATCACTTTCCTTTTACATAGATTGCTTTTCTATATCATAGATTACCTTTTCTGTTTCATAAATTATAAATTGAATTTATTGGAATACTTGATGTCCATCCAATATTTGCCGTGCTATTTTCTGACCATTCCTGATTTATATTGTCAATAAATATTAGTTTATTGTTATTTATTAATAAATTAAAGCTTTATTATTTATTTGAAATTGTTTCTCTGCCTAAAGAAAGTATTCCCCTAAAATTCATGCATTGATGAATATAAATTAGACTATATAGCTTTTCCTCTCTAAAAGGGATGCAGAGTGTACAATTCTGAGCTGACACAGCCAATTGCAGAGTATCAGCAGGTGTACCAACTTTTAAAGAATCGCCCATTAAATAACGTTTTTAACTATTTTTATTTATACATTATATATTAAAGCTAAAAGACCATAATAAAATATGTACACGAACTTTGATCCCTAACCCATTACACATAAAAAATAATATTAAAAAATACATTAACTTTGGACAAAATCAATTTAAGCAGCATCTTTGAGATCTTTTGGTTCAAATGCTACAGCTCTGGGATAGCTCCTAGGGTGACCAATTAGGTGCTTGTCTGCAAGTTTCATCAAGGCAATATTATACAGGCTGTGTTCCATCAATGTTGAATATTCACAAACGTTTGTCGAACTGACATTGGCGCTTGCAGCAGAGGCTTAGCATCTTCCAACGCTTCCTCAGAAGTTCTCAGGAAGCAAGATACAACGCAAGTATTTATGGTGGCTTCTGGTGGTACTCCTTAAACTATTGAAGGTTACAATCCGAATCCAGAATCCTTTGTATCTTCAGAAGCTTCCGCAGCTACATCTCAATCGTGTCCGTAGAAGATCTCCGGAGGCAGGATGCAACCAGAGTGTGTATGGTAGCCTTGATACTCCTTTAAGAATAGAAGCTAAGATTCCATTACTGCTAGACAAATCCTGAGTCCTATTCGTCTTCAGAAGCAACCGAAGCTTCAGATGCTGCAACTCGATTGTGTCTCCGGAAGCAAGATGCAACTCATGTCAACACAAAATTTAGTTCATTAATTTATACACTTTATACACATCCATGTTTTTGGCTGTATATCAACCAAGAACTGGGCAACATTTGCCAGTCCACTTAGAGTCCGCACAACAGTCTACTTTTACATACGGTGCCAAATTACAGCAACTTGGTTGGGAACTAACTAAAGGTTTTTTGAGTTTTGGACAACACCGAGCTTGTAAGCCCATCAATTGCGTTGAGCTACAGCAATTATCACGCACTCGTGCAGAGGAAGCACAGCAATCGGAATGCGAAGACGAAATCAAAGCTGCACTTGACGCTGGCGGAAATTTAGGATGCCTTTCTGTTCCCGAAAATGGACCGGGATTTCTTTTCAAAGCAGTGTCTCCTTTTGAGTTATATCCTTGGTCGTTCGGGAAATCAAATGCTGGTATGCTGGTAAACGGGTAAAAGGAGGATGGCGTTGCCGATTCCGGTAGGCCAACACCGTCGCAACAGGCGGGTTTGCTGCTTATCGGGTAAGCAAAGCAGCACTTCTTCTTTTGACGACGCGTTTTGGAACAGCATCTACGATGACGTCGCTCAACGGTTCTTTGAGAGACCGCATTTTGTCCGGTGCTGACCAATCTTGCAGGAGCTGGTGGTGGTCGACGGATTGCTATATCTGGATGTCTGTCCATCATGTCCAAATCTGCTTTGAGACGTTCCATGTGAGCTGCAGAACAGCAATGACGGGGAACGTTTTGTGGAAGTTTCAAACAACAGTCATATCGGTTGCGCCTTGTTGACGAGCAGCAGAGCGGATCTCCTTTTTCAGTATGTCGTGGAACGGGAAGAACCAAGCTGGTTGCAGGGGCACGGAATTCCTGGAAACCAGGATCATATGGTGTTGGTGGTGGAATACGTATGGGTTCCATTCGCTCTAAATCTCTTTCAATCAATTCAAGCTGTGGAGCAGAGCAGCAGCTATAAGGCACAGTTGGTGGCAATTTTTTACAACATTCGTAACGCTCTCGACGATCTTGGGAACAGCAGACTGGGTCTCCTTTTTCAGTGTTTCTCTGGGGAACTGGAACATAATGACTGACAGACGGGGCTCGGAGTTCCTGGAACCGGCGATCAGGTAGCGATGGAACTGGTGGTCTGTCCAGTTTAATCATATCTTGTTCTAGCATCTCCATTTGGTCAGCAGAACAGCAGCTGTAGGGAACGGTCGGTGGTAATTTCAAGCAGCAATCATAGCGCTCTCGTCGATCTTGAGAACAACAGACGGGGTCGCCCTTTTCTGTGTTCCTTTGAGGAACTGGAAAGTAACGAATAGTTTCCGGAGCTCGTAATTCCTGGTATCTTGGGAATGGTGTTGGTCTTACTGGTGGAAGAACCTCTTCTACGTCCATCCGTCGGATGTCTTGCTCGATTTTAGCTAGGTGATCAGGGGCGCAACAACTATATTGGATGTTTACGTTAGCTGGGAGTTTCATACAACAGTCATAACGCTCTTGACGATTCGAGCTGCAACAAACAGGATCGCCCTTCTCTCCGGAAGGTCTTTGACGGATCTGAGGTGGTGGAGCACGGAATTCGCTCACTCGATTGTCTTGACGTAACAGTTCCATATGTTCTGGAGAACAGCAATTACGTGGACTACCTGGTGGTAAGCGGAGGCAACATGCGTATCTCTCTTGGCGGGAATCTGAACAGCAAAGAGGTGGACCTTTTTCTGGAGATCTTTGGAAGGTTGGAAGTCGCCTAACGTTCTGTGGTGTAGACACAGCAGGATCACCTCGAGCGTTATCTGCGAATGGATCAGGGCAACATCGTTGGTAAAAACCATCTGGTTTGTTCATGCAGCAGGACTTTCGTTCATCCTCCTCGAATCCACAACACAGTTCGCTTGGGTCATCACTTTCCATTTCCTCCTCCTCATCTGGATTGGGCGGAATGTCCGATCGTCTAGGAAGATCAATCTGAGGCCCCCTGTTAACTCCAGTTGTGTTCGAAGGAGGCTCCACAACGACGGGAGGATTAAGCCTAGTGTTCAGTCCAGTGGCATCCTCATCAAGCTCATCATCAGGACGTAGGTCTAGGATCCCATCGCCGGATGGAAAACGTGATCCTTGACGCTCTTGCTCCCGTCTGAGTTCTTCTTCAGCTTTGCGTTTTTCTTCTTCTTCTTCTTGGTTACGTCGCTTGATTTCCAGCTGGGATTCCTCCTGTCCTGCACCCAATCTCTGTTCGCTTTGTATGTTTCTGTCATGCTTGTTGATGTGTCGTGAGTTTCTGGGCTGTTTCTTGGCCAAAGTGCAAGGGTAACCTAACTGGATTTTCGGACAACAAGCTGTGCACGTCCTTGATCCGGAAGATGACACACAAGGTTTGGATTCAACACCATCTGGTACTCGTCTGAAAAAAGAAAGCAAAGGAGTTATTAATCCATCCTTTCATTTTGGAGATGATGCCATCATGAAACAAGGGACTTGAGGATATTTGTTGATCAAATTGATGGACCTTCGTGGGTCCTTTTGGAAGAAGCCTTAATTAATCAAGTGGGTATACTTACTGTTTTTGGTTGACAGTTCTAAGACACATGCCATTACTCTTTCGAACACAGAATTTGACACTTTTAACAGTATATTTAGGTTTTGTACACATTTTGGTGGTTTTCTTGTAACTGAAATGACAAAATGAAATGGAGTTTTACGCCCTATTAGGATAAAAAAAAAATGACACTTTATGTCAAATCTTACATTCAGTTGCTTTACATCTGATATTCTTTGAGGAGTGAGTGTATTGCTTACCTCATGGTCCATCTGCAGCACTTGCATTGAGAAAAAGAGGAACATGGACTAGGAGCAGCAACTGCCGAAGGGATTGCTCTGTTGGGTCTCCTAGATTTGGTGATGGGTATCAATGGTCTCTTGATGGAGGTCACCAACCGTCTTGTTCCACCCTGGGCCATTTTTAACGCTTTACGTCCACCTAAAAAGATTAACATTAAATTATTGGAGAAGTATGCTAGACATACATTCACCCTAAGAGCATATTGTAATAATCGGGCGTTAAGCTACTTCTTGTTGGTCACAAAAGACCTCTCTGAGCTAACGAAGTGGCATAAGCCTTTAACCGTCCTTCGTCTTTTCCATGAGGACTCCCAGAACCTTATGTTAGTTGTTACTTACTAGGAACAAATCTCGGTTGTTGGTTGTAGCTGACTGGACGATGTTCACTAGATGTTGATGATGCAGCTGATGATTTGTATGAGAATGCATGTCTTGCTGGTGATGTCTTAGGTTTGTGAACAACTGGTGGTCGGACGTTGCTGCCGGTGAATCCGGCGTTCCGACTCCGTGAGGTCCAGTACTTGTACCCATTGGAATCGTGCAGGAAACCTGAAATGGTAAACGAATATAGATATACATTGTGAACTATATGAATGGGATGCTGAGTTAGCCTTATTAGCTATGTGGACTCTCTGTGGAATGCCGGATTGACAAACCAAATATCAACAACCAACGTTATGCGATCTTTATGAAGGAATGTCCATCTGGTCCGACTAGCAATGCAGAAGCACTAACGTCATTGCCTTCAAAATTAGTTCGCGCCTCATTAGCTCAATAAAGAAGATTGATGTAACACTTCATTTCATCTCACTATAAACCAACACTAATTACAATAATGCAGTAAAAGTGTTTAATTTATAAATTCTGTTTAAATTAAGAGAATGGCAAAAATATGAAGTTTAGAAGGTTATTCTGAACTTAGTATTAGGTTTTAATTGACATTAAATGTAACGAAGGTCGTTTTAACAGATTCCTTACAGAACTCCGTGCCATAAAATTTTATGAATTATGTTTTCAGATGTAAGGTGGAGACGGGATAAAGGTAGGGGGGATTACGTAAGTCATAATGCTAGTGCATTTCTTTATTTCTTTATTTATTTATTAATCTATTTATTTATTCATTTATTTATTCATTTGTCTCTCTCTCTATCTATCTGTCTGTCTATTCATTCATTTTCATTGAAATTATTCAATTTATTTCTATATTGAAATTATTCTATTTATTCATTTTCCTTTTTATTTTATTTAAATTCACTTATCTATGTTATCTTTATTTATTTACAAAACTCTATAAAAGAACCATAATATTGTGTTCCGTTCTTGAATAAAAAAATAAGTCATTTCTAAAAATACATTATCTATACAAAAAAGGTTGGAGAAAAAGAACAAAGGATTGTATTTGGTATCTGTTATTGTACAAGTTGATAATATTTTAAAATAAACCAAAACCTAAAAAACTATATATCGAATATTTTCTAAATAATTTACTGATCCTATTTTTTTTCCTACACAGAAAAACATCTACATGAAACAAATGTCAAATCGTACTCAAATAAATTCTCTGAACTTTCGTATGTTTTCTTCTCGACGAACAATATGTTTTGGTTTTCTCCCCTGTGAAAAAGTGCTTCTTTTTGATGTGCGTTTAACATACATTTATTATGGTTTCAATGCGAGAACCATACGTTCACACCACGTAATATCTGGGCATATTAAACGTACAGACTGCTTTTTAACTAAATTTTTCTTTAATTTTTATTTGGTTACTTATTAATCCCTGTGGTAAATTGGACTACATTCTTTACATGTATCTGAATGATTTCACAGCATAAAACTTCTTTTAAGGGGATAACGATATAACATTTGGTTCTCTTTGCCAGTTTTCTGATAATCTCGAAGTGTTCTAGTTTTACTGTCGACGAATTAGAACTATAGAAACGGGATGAAGCAAGGAGATCTATTGGCCCCTCTATTCTTTTAGCACGTAAATAAACTTTGAACTAAAGTCGTCCAAGACTTATCGTGTTTATTAAGAAGCGGGATGAAGCAGGGAGATCTATTGTGCCCTTATCCTTGTACAGTCGGATTAAACTAAATTAGACAAAAACGTATACTCTGATTAAGCTACAAAAACACAACTCCGGACGTTAATGCGAAAAAATTAGATAAGAAAAATATTGGACCAAGCCCCTTTAAAACGCAAATTGAAGACAATTGCGTCGCAGATTGACACCGTGGGTGGAGGTCACGCCGAAACAAAATTCCACGAGTTCCAACTGATTTTCTTATCATGTCGATTAGAGAAAAATAATCCGTGCAGAAAGTTACTAGTTTAAAGGGATTTATACAACTAACGTGCTGGATTTACTATGTAACAGAACTTTCAGATTTAAAATTCGACGTATGGATAACTTTAAAAAAATAACCAGAAACCCCATCGAATTTCAACCAGCTTAAGGTTGGAAGTAGTATTATGTAAATGTAATTAAATGCACATGCGACTTTAAAGGGATTATATCCGCTTATCTCGACAATCTACAGCATTAAAGGATTGTATTTCATACTAATGTTTAGCGACCCTTAAAGTGACGTTATCAGATATGCATCGATATATAATACCTCCAGTCTTTTCAAATTATTTAAATTTTTTCATGTAGAATTTAGAAGATCGACTTAAAAGCTGAAAAGGATGATGTACCTAGCAAGAGACAGAAAGTCGAACGGAACACTCAAATTCCATGCATTTAAAGTTAAATGTCCACTCTCTCAGACGTTGAGTGAGAAATTTGGAGTATTGTATCCCTTTAACCAATTCTGGATTCATTTAGTCATGCACCATTTACTAATTCCGAAAGTTAGAAGTCAGCAAATTTCTTTCGGCCTTCAGTTATTCAATCCAGAAGTCAACTTTCGCGCCACTGGTTGCGCTGTAGGGGAGAGTATGTTACGTCCGTCCATCTGGGAGCAATAGTGGAGGAAATACTTAACCTTTAATGTTTTGTATCAAAATAACAACACGTATTAAAGAGACTTATTTTGGGGTAATCTTACCGAATTAATGGCAGCATGACGGAACTCGACTAGGGAGATGAAATACCTTGGAAATTCCCCGTAAATACTATTAGGTCACACAGATTGCCACTCTCATTTCACTGAGGAATGAAAGAAGCAAGAAGTAATTAAATAATATTGAGTTTTACGCCCTACAGTCAACGATATGAAATGGGCAATGGCCACAAGGACAGTTTTTTTTTATCTTGTAGACAAGGACCACAACTGGCCACAAGGACAGTAGTAACAAGAACATAAGTGAAAACTCACCAAGAGGTAATACCGTTAGTTTTTATTTCATTGGCGTGTTGCAATAAAAGATAAGGTCACAAAAGCGCTCCTTGCTACACCCCTTACACAAATTTGAAGAATTCTCAAATCTCATATATTTTTTCTGGTAGGAAAGTTGTATGGGTAAAGTGGCACAAGGAACGAACCGAGAATTTATTCTAACCAAATGCGGATTGAATTCTCAGACAGTGGTACTTGATTTATTGCATTTTCTCCCTAATCTTTGAGATATTTCAAATTAGGATTCCATTTTCGGCATTCTGTCGCAAATTGGTTTACTAAGATGCATTCATTCATCCAATCCCAAAAGCAAAAGCGTCATGCGACTGACTTTAAATTGGTCAGAAAATAAATTGTAAAACACGAATAGTTGAATGAAATATAAGCCAACACGTTTATTAAACGCCCTAATCGTTCCAACATTTAACATCAATTTTACATTCATTTTAGCCGGAATTTGTAATAAAAAAATCAGGACATAAGGTTATATAGTTCTCTAAAGATACTATAATGTCGTTTGAATAAAGCTATATATTGGTCTTAATATTTGCCTTTCTAACTAATAGAACTCGCTGTTAGTCAACGAAGTTCAGTGTCTGCCAAAAGTCTCCATGTCAGCCAATCGAGCTCAATGTCAGTCAATAATGTCAACCAATAATGATCAATATCAGCCAATCGTAATGAGAGCTGAGTCGGATTCACTTGTGAAAATGGAAAGAAAGGTGACAAAAGAACATCTACCAAAATGAAATATTAAGCTCACCCACTGAATATAGCTAGTACACAACTCTTGGTACAAGTCTCGTTGAAATATTAGTCTAATGGAGTTAAGAACATTTGAAAGGCGTGGACGAACGTCTCAACCCCTCAAATGTTGCACCAAATCTACTCTTTGATATTTAGACGACAATTAAAGACATTTATATTTTATCAATTTATATTTCAAGAGGGTAAAAGGCTGTGTAATCTACATGAGCCACCCACTTAGATTTTCAGACAATAAAGTCAACATAAAGTCCAAAAATTGACATGTGAAAGCCTGGTGCCCTTAAAAAGTTCTCTTTCTTTATTATCCCATTCGACCCAGCTGTAAAAGGGTTCAGATTACCCTGTAAAGATCGTTGTTCGGGGGGTAAACAATTTCAGCTGGAAAAGGAATCGTTTAAGTATAAATCTATAGATCAATAGCAAGAAGTTTGACCAAGGACCACAGAAAGGGTCATCATTTGCTAGTCAACCAGGCAATGGTACAGATAATCTAGTGAAGATCATAGCAAAGAGGTAGGTCAAGACAAGAGTCATCGGAACTAGAGCAGAAACAAGTCAACCTCCCACCACGATTCGAATACAACAAAGGGTCACATTATCTACAAGAACCCTCAAAACCAACTGGGTCCTCATTCAACTTCCCACTTTGATTTTCAGGCAACGAAGAGCGGCACCAATTAATCAAAACTCAATTCCGGTTTCTAATTGCCATGTATAGCAGACACAGAACGGCATATCAAACGGTTTTATCTTATTTTGGTGTCTGGTTTTATTGCAGTCCTCTTGAACTTCTCTTCAAGCACCCTTTAAATGTCAATAGGCAAAATGTGTAGAAACCAGGTTCGTATTGTTGAAAATACTACACACATGCCATCTGCGCTATCAAAATCACGATATGCCACAATCAAACAACTAAACCTCCAACGTGAGAACCATTGGCGTGCTCTAAGAAGAGATAAGGACACAATAGTTCACCCTGCTTTACCCCGTTACCAAATTTTGAAGATAATTTAAAAATCATAATACATGTACATGAACATGGCCTAGGATCATGGATACACCAAATAAACAACATAAGCTATGTGAACTCTCGAAAATAGAGTTGCCAAACCATGGTTCAGATGACACTAATCTGCATGACAAAGTAGTCTCTTGCCCAAAGCCATATTTTTCTACTGTAAAAACAATACTTTATACTTTTGTCTGTGAAGATCAGGAGAAAATAAAAATAGAATTCGAAATCTAATCTCGGAATTCGTTTCATGTCCAAAAAAATCTGAATTTAGTGTAATCGTAATTCTATTACAATTCTAATCAAGAGTAAATTTAACAAAAACAAGACGCCACAGGCACCTGTTAAAGAAAACGGGGGTTGTTTTTTCATGGAAATTAGTAAATTCCAAGGTGATCATTTTTCTGTGGCTAGATCACTTCTGGTAGAACCTGGCCATCGGCGTTTGATTGTGTCATATATATATGATACTTAAATTGAAATTGTAGTAACACTTATAAGATTTGGGAGGAGAATAGAAGTACGGTACGTTCGATATGGTCTCCCTCTGTCGGAGATTCAGAACGAGAACATTAAACCAAGTCCTGTGCGTTATAGTGTGTGGGCGTTAAGGATATGTCGACGGTTAGATATCGGAGAAGATCAGACATATGCCCACGTCGTTAGTCGTTCTTCGTTAGAGCAGAGAAGTAAGATGTAATACTCAACCACTTCTCGGAGAATGTTGCCTTTACCCCTTCGTCCTTTAGATAAATTGGTTCCTTCCCGTACGTGAACAATGAGTCAGAGAACAAAATATAGGAAATTAATGAAATATTACTCAGAAAGTTTATGACAAATAGAATCAACAGTGGGTCAATTTTTTTTTTAGTAACATAAACCCCATTACATGTAATCGGAAGCATGTGACCAACTCGACTACACGAAGTATTTCCGCTGTTCGTGAGCCGAGTTCTTGGGGTTATTCTTCAGAAATACTCAGATTTGGCAGCTACGTGACTAGCTTATACAATGATTAGTGTATGCTGGTTTTACATTTTATAAATTACATAATGCATTTCATTGTGAGTGCAATTTAAAATTTGTGCCAAAGATATATTCTCGCTCCACTTCCGGCCATAAAAAGGGTGGGAAAATATACTGGTGGTGACTAAGGTAGTGACATAACGAGAGAAGAAATACTTGTAGAATTAAAAGTCCACACTGTTAATCAAAATCAACGCAAAACGCAAAAAGAGAAGACGAATTGGATCAAAAGACATAGATCATAATAGTGGTTAGTGGTCCAAAGATCAACATTGTGAATCGAGAACAGCCTCAAGATTCTTTAGGTTGCGTCAAAGCAATACGCTTGCCTTTTACGCAATGTTTTTCCGGCAGATGTGGTTCTCCATCTGTGAAGGGAGGACGGCTAGTTAGAAATGAGTGAAATAGTTTCATCTGGTTGCCATATAGTACCAAAGTGTGATGATGTTTAAAAATACCAATTACTTGTCTAACCTTTCCCCTCCAGAGACTCATTTAAACTTAGCTGACAAATGGTTGGCATGAAGGTCGTGTGGTGTTCATCCTCGGGCAATTCAAACAACATACAGTCAAACTTGTAAGTTCTTAGGGGAAGGATGTTTTACTGGCCATTGATGAAGGTTTATGCTGAAAACTGGTGGTCGTTCGTGAAAGTTTGACTATAGTACTGGTGCGTTTTGACAAAGTTATGCCCACGAGCAGTTATATACAGGATTTAGAGCCAGTCGACAAGAGTAAGCATATCACAATTAGGGATGGTAATATTCTACATATGCCTTATCAATTAATCCAGATAACCAATATTGATCATGCAGACTCAAAACGATTCAAGGCTGACAAACCAAGTCGCAGAGGGACATCAAGTGTTTTGAATGGTGAGCTTATCACTAACAGTGGGTGGGTGGTAATAGTATATGCCTTATCGATTAAAATTTCAATGCTTGAATGCAACCTGGCATATTGGACTAAATAGTACCACCCCGGTGTCTATATACACCAGAGCATTAGATCAGCTAAATCTTGAACCAATTGTTTTCACTTCCTGAACTTAATAGCACCCAGCACCGAACGCATCTGACCGGAAAATCGAACGATGGTCAACCAGAATAAATGCACTTGGAGTTCGATGAACCGTTCTAGAGATATGTCTACGCGAGGATCAATTAAAAAGTTAAAATATGGCAACCAGATTTTTCTCTACCGTCTTAGAGCACGTAACCTTCGTTCAACACACAATTTTCTAACATTCTTCAATAACAAAATTCTTTCATAACGAAGGGGTAATATCCTACAAACAAGTGAAAACTCTGGTGGCGTCAGCCCTTATTCCCTGTGGAGTACAAGTCCTACAAGCTTCATACCTTATGGAATATAACCCCAATGCTTTGCGGACCGCAGTCCTTATGTCATGTAGAAACGACCCAAGCCCCCTCTGTATTTTCCGCACAAACGTCTAGACAAGGTCACCGCTAAATGCACCTAATTTTTACATGAATGTGCACATTCAACATGTTGTCAAAATCTACGTAAAACTTGTTTTGTTAAATTCTTTCCAGATTTCAGAGTCCGACTTTATAACAAATGGCATAGTTAAATATTACTGTGTTGAATTACCAGGCAAGGTCAAACAGTTTGTAAATTGGTGTGAAGTAAGGCGACAGTTTACGTCTTCACCTATTATTACGTTGTGTAAATAAATTTAAGCCGCGAAGTAATGAAACGCATATTGTTTTGACTTAATTTATTCTTCGAACTCTTGAGCCTAAAGGACCTACAAATACAAAACTTAACATAAGGTATAACAGTTTGGAAATTGGTGTGAAACAAGGCGACGTTTTAAGTCTTCGTTCATTTTTACGTTATGTAAAAAGAAATTGACTGTGACTTACATCTTCTCTAGTATATATACAGATGAAGAAAAGAAGCACTCCACTCATTCTAGTATGTATATACCACCATTAACATCACACGTAAGACAACAAGAAACTGTAATTTCCACCAAAGCTAAGCCGCTTTAGGATAACAAGTTCCCATTCAAATCTCTAGCGGATATTACCAGTATTATTAATGAAAGCAATTCGTAACAGAAGGTAGTCAAATTAGGACAGAAAGTCTCTCGATTTGCCCAGGTGTTTGTAGTTTCCTCTTTTGTAAGATATACATTGTATCAAAAACAATATGAACCCCACCCTACCTAGAGCACACTGTTTCGTGGTTAGTGTTAGTCCGTAACGTGCTGACTAGCTCAACCTATATCGGTGCCGTTTCACAAAAGGTCTTCAAATCAATTTTGTTAGAAGTATGGTATTTCAATGTAAAATTCCACACTTAAGCCAAATTCTTGTCGTAAGATATTTTGAGAAATGGGGGCGTCTTTAATAACTTTTAATAACTTTTGCGGACGACGCCATGTGGTTTTAACGGAAGGAAAATTTGCCATTATCGTAATATCATGGACAGAGACTGTAGCACACGGAGATCGAGTCATTGTCTCATACACGTTGTCATGGTCCGACATGCTGATTATCTGGTATCTGGCGTTTGACAGTTGGAACTGAAGGTCCAAGTCAGTCAGATGATTACGTTAGTCTGAAGAATCAGGGTATGTTTCGGATTAACCATTACTGTTTCGTTTTGGCACAATGGCTCTGGACTAAACAAAAAACAGAAAAAAATGTTAAGGTAACAATGGGGAACTGACGGTTAATTATCAGAAGTAAGATGAGACCTCTAGTTCGATTTCTATCATTGCCTCGCCCCTTCCTCCGGCAGCGTAACACTGTATATTCTGGCAGACCTTTCAAATTCTTATCAAACAAGTACCAAATACCTCAACCTATATCCATCAATAACAATACCCAGGTGCACAATACCTCACGTGAAATCCACATTCAACTCTACAAAAATCAGCCCAAACAACAAAGAAGACTATTTCGTGCTAGACATATCCGACCGAGGTAGCCATAACAAAGAGGACAAACGGAATGATGACATTTTCGCAATGATGCAATTTTCTTTCCATGCATCAAGAAGTTATTCGTCGCAGGGCACACGCAATGATAAAATTTCACCTTAATTCCTTTTGTTTCTTACTGACCCTATCCGACCAAAGATTCTTTCTGTAGGGTAGGACGAACCAAATTATAAAGGTTTTCCACCCACCTACCCTAAGTTCCCCTTTATTTCTTACTGGCTGTACGAGTAACCATCATACTAAAATTCTATCACAATATTACGTTCCCCACCCACCCTTAGGCAGTCTGAATCTCTCTCCTGCCAAATTGTTGGTGAATATTAAAAAGCAAGTAAACCACAAACCAAATGGTCACCAGATGTGCGGTATTTTTCTTATAATCTATTATTACAATATAATGTCGAATGGTCATATCCTACTACTAGTTCCATAAATTCCTGCAATATTTCTTAGACTGTTTCGTTGAAAATGGACATAAGATGGCCCTTTGGTTGCTCCATTGAAACTGGAAATAAGTCGTTTCATTTGGTTCATTCAATGAAAATTAACATATATTCGTCGTGAGGTTGTTTCAATGAGAAAGCAAACAATTTGTGCCATGGGCCATTTTGAAGACAAACTATAATGTTAAAAAAATGTTTATAGCCATAACGGTATGAGACAGGGTTGTCTTTTAGGTCAATTCTTATTGATGCATTACAGTAACGAACGTGACAATAGTTTGGGTTTCAAAATAACATGTTTTAGTACGTAATATAGTTGATAGTAATTGCATTAAGGCGTGGACAAATGGACAAAGGTAGTCTAAACCTGGTCCACCCTTTGTTGTTCGTGTTACTATTTATGAGGTTCGCCAAAAACTGGGTTAGTGGTAGCATGTACGTGATGCAATATTCGGACAAGAGTCAAAAGGGCGATGTCCAAAACTGACCGAACAAGACCCACCTTAAATTCTTTCCATTGTACACAAACTAACCGCCTCACTCTAAAAGTACATGTTAGGCCCAAAGGTCGGTATGAGGAATCCAACCAAACTGGAATGATTCTTGGATGACCGAAATTCCAATAGGTCTCCGCCCTTAGCTTGATGAAAACCCACCATCGAACCGTAATGAACTTTGACAAGATTCTTCAGATATGATTTATGAACAGGAAAATACTCTTCACGTAATCTATTTAGGGTGAAAATATGCAAAATGGCCGGTTTGTCCTGTTTGCTCTCATCTATTAACACATTCTTTAGTAATTTATTCATTGTTTCTTTATACATGTTCTATATATTATAATTATAAAGACATAGCAAACGATGAGAAACTGTATTCACGGATATTTCACAAAACGATCGTGACAAAATCGCTCCCTACCAGGTGCACTGCACTAGCAAACGAAAGGGAGAAGGGGGTTGGGGGTATTAGCATTAGTTCTTTCGTTTATTTATACAGTTCTAAATTATGGTAAAAGAAGTTACGCACAACTACTGGAACAATAGCTCTCATTTTAGGGTCCAAAGACCAAAGCACCTAGCTGCTATCTGGATTAATGGATTAATATGCCTTAACTTAATTTTGAATCTAAAATATCTAAACAATCGTCCTCAACAAGACATGTACCATACTGCATGTAAATCTACTTGACCCTAAATCAAACTCGAACATGGGTTACACAAAGGTGCATTGTTACTACCCGGCTTTTAAATGTTATGTATTAACGACTTTTCCAAAAAAAATGACATGATCTATTTCCTTCTGTCAAACAATTAGAAATATAATTCTTGGGTTATTTTTAGGCTAAATTATTACAATTTTCACCCAAATTAAAACTTCCTGTAGTTATAATTAAACAGGAGTCTAACATCCTAATTTCATTATAAACCTTTCTTTATGAAGCGCCCTATTTATAATTGGCTTATATCTTATGTTCTATCCGACGTTCGCTGTCTGATTAAATTATATTACGATACATTATCCGTTTTTCGATGTCTGATTAGCTTATATCACTGTATATCCGATATTAATTTCT